ATGAAATAATTATACTCTACTCCATTTATGTTTAAGCACTTTTGTGCATACAGACTGAGCCTCTAGAACTAGAGGTTTTCAATCTTTTTATATCCCTGTTCCATCAACTACGTTTGAAAATGTTCATATGGACCACTTGACCTTTTATTTTTGCACACGCTGAGTAGGAAGAACAAGTTGGGATACTATTGTATTTATTATGTATAGTCTGTCGTTTATCGACATTCAAAACTAGAGCTCGTAATCAGTAATTTTAGGAGAAGAGATTTGGGCACCGAGCGGTTTTCTTCGGTCAAGTGGGTAAATTTAAATGGAGTAGAGTATAGATGCAAGTTTAAAATTATACTTACAGTTGATTCAGTTTTTACAGCTTTTAATGCATCTATATACATTTGTTCATATTGTTCCAAGTCAGAAATGTCGACTTTCATATTTTTCAAACTAGTTTTACCCGCAGAGTTCAAAACATTTTCAAATAGTTCTTTCTGTAAAAAAAATCAATTTTAAATAATAAAAAAACAAATACAATATTATGATAATGATATTACATGTTCTGGAGTGACAAATGTAATAGCTTTCCCTTTATGACCAGCACGCGCTGTTCTACCAATTCTATGTATATAGTTTTTTGGATATTTTGGTACATTGTATAAAATGACACAAGATATCCGTTCAATATCTATGCCTCGAGCTAATGAATCTGTGCAAATTAATCTGTACAAATAAACCAAAACAATAATTAATAATAACAATAAAAAAATATATATATAATATATACGACAACTTACACGTCAATTTTACCATCTGAAAACTGTTTAATATAACCCGAATGATTTTTTTGAGATACATCAGAAGAAATTTCATTAACTCTTAATGGAGAATTGTTTGTATCAAATTCGCTGAGTTTGCATAAAAGCCTAGTTAAACGATGTACTTCTATTTTTGATTTGACGAAACAAATTACCCTTTTTAGGCCTTTACTTCTTATCAAATGATACAGTGTTAGAGGTTTATTTTCTTCTGGACACAACACCATGTATTCTTTGAGTTCTTTGGGTGTTGTGTATTTTCCCACAAAGTCCCCTCGGACAGGTTCGTCAGTGCCAGTTGAATCTAATATAATTGTCAATTAATTAAGTGTTAAGTTTCATCATAATGATTAAGTTATGATTACCTGTGGGCAATTGTGAATTTTTTCTTTTTATAATTGAAGTAAATAATTTAGGTTCAAAAAGTTTAAGAAACTTTAATTTTTCAGGATCTTGAGTAAGTGTTGCTGAAAATAGTAATCTCTGTGTTCTTTGTGGCGACTCGTTTAATGTATTTAAAGTACATATTGTAGGTCCACTATATCCTAAACAAAATAATGTTTCAGTCTAATTATATGTGTAATTTACTTTAGTAAAAAGTAAAAAAAATATTTATGTAAATTACCTAAGCTATCATTAACTTTATGTAGCCACTCATTTTGCAAAATATTGGTAAAACTGTCAGCCTCATCCAGAACAAGAAATCTAAGGTTTTTTAGAGAAAATCCTTCGGTGTAATATAAATGATCAACTAACCGTCCGGGAGTGGTCACTATGATATCAACAAGGTCTATCCATCCAAGGCTGCTATCTATAATTATTAAATTGGTATAATAATATTTTAAAATTGTAAATTTTATGGTTTTCTGTAATTTAAAATCTGTATACCATATTTCAAGATCCTTTCTTTTTCTTTTTCAAGAGTTGTGTTTTTAGATTCCAAAAGAAGCACTCTCAAATCAAATGCATTTTTAATGTAATACAAAAACACTTTGAACACTTGTGCAGCCAAGTCTTTGGTTGGCAATACAATGAGAGCGCGTAGTTGATGTCTAGAGAATGTCTTTAACGTCTAAAATAAAAATATTAAAATAATATTTAAGCATTGAAAACATAAATCCAAGCTGAATTAATGTTGGTTTTAATGAGCACGTCCAACCTGTATTATTGGAAGAACATAGGAGAGAGTTTTGCCACTGCCAGTTGGTGCTGAAATACATACGTCTCTGAGCCACCTGAAGTCCCAATGTTTTTGTGTCTTAATTATCCACGGTACTAGTTGATTTTGAACTGCAATAAACGTGTACTGTGATCAAAATGTGACAAAGTATAATTTTTTGTTTGAAAATGGTTTAAATTACCCGGGAAAAAATGTGTACATCCTTTATTTTTTAGTTTTTGAACTAGAGCCGGGTCCAACTCTGGAATGCCGTCAATAGGCACCTCCAGGTGTTTTAAATCGACCGATACGACTGTGGGTTTGGCGAGCCAGTCTGGTAGAACTCGTTTTACCTATACAATTAAAAAAAATTAATAGTAATCTGATATAAGTCGTCAATATTTAATAAACAGGAATTGTGAATCTGATACCTTTTTATTTTTCTTGAACCCATGCGTGTCTACCAACGTGAAGTCTGATGATGGTATCGTGGAGTCCATAGTGTAATATTATTATAGTTATTTATGTAGTCATTTGCCGAATATAATTTCAGTGTCCACACCATCGAGTAACGAACAAGTGAAGTGAACAACTCACACACGTGCCTTTTTGTTATTATATGGTTGACGGCTGTTAAGGATGAGATAACACCATTGCCACGAAAAGTGATTACTTCGATTATATTACTATTCCGAATAAACTACTACGAATATCAGTTGCACCGAATATGACTGTTGAAAATTATGGTACCACGAACAATCATCATTCCGATAACGATATTACTTCGAAAATATTGTTACTAATATCAGTTGTTCCGAAAATACACAACTACGAAATAATAACCACGGTTTTAGATAATATTATATACTTACTTAATTGAGGGATGACTTGAAGGTGCTTAGCCTCTCCAAAACTTGTATTTGAATTGAAGTATTAAATCCTTCATTAGTTATCTAATCTACATAATCCAGAAAACGATGTTTGAAGAAATTATTTTCTAAAGTTTAAACGATTCATGTTATCCATGGTATATTTTGGATCCACCCACAGGGGTAATTTGAAAAAAAAACCAAGTAGCATTATATTGGCGATTGACTAAATACATAAATAACTTATAAGAATTATTTTATTAATTATATAGGTATTAGAAATAAAATTAATATTGTATCTATATTATGTTAAAAATTGCTATTTTGTAAAAAAAATTATGTCACAATACCGGTGCTTATAAATAATAATAATAATAGTAATAATAATTGTAGGTATATAAATGAATGGTAAACGGAAAAAAAGTCCCCGTTAATAAAATCATACGAAAAAACATGATTGTACATAGGTACGTAATTATTACATTTATTACAACATTTAATAATTACATGTTACAGGTATATAGCCGCAGGGATGGGCAAGATACTCAAAAATCAGTATCGCGAGATACTAGGTAGTAGATACTAAATACTTGGATTTGGAGTATCGAGATACTAGATACTCGATACTTACATTTTAAATGTTTAGATACTCGATACTCCTCGATACATTTGAAAAAATTAGTCATTGCCTACGACGCATAGGATTTTTTTAAATTTTATGTAGGTATATACACAATAAGGTAGGTTGTGAATATAGACAAATGCATTTAACTTTAAATTTCCAAATATTGGTTAAGTATAAATATATTATAATAAGTCAATCGTTAAATTAAATAAATAAATAGAAATAAAAATAAATTATAGATATCATCATATTGAATACTGAATAGTATACATGACGCGACAAAAAACTTTAAATGCATTTAACATTAAAATTTCAAGTATTAATTAAGTGTAAATATACCATAATAAGTCAACTGTTAAATTACATGAATAAATAATAATAAAAATAAATTACAGATATCATATCGAATAGTATATGACACGACAAAAAACGTACGGTAAAGACTTAAAGTCCCATTCAACGTGTATGTGTGGTACATCACGGTACACAGATATAACTTAGTATGGCTAATAGGTTGAACAATAATTTCGTACAAGTTGTACTACAATTAAATTATGTGTTTATAAATTTAAATTCATCGCTCATATTATTTTACACATATTATAGTATTATACTAAAACATAGTCAACAGTCGCGGTTGGTAGATAGGCGAGTAAAAATGATCCTAAAAAATTAATTTTTTAAAATATCGCATTAGTATCGAGTATTTTTTGACAAAATTATTTTGTGGAATACTCGATACATTGTCTAAAAATGTATTGCGATACAAGATACTCGATACCTCATATAATTGTATCGAGATACAAGATACAAGATACAATTGTATTTAAGAAAATACATTTATTACAAATTTAATCAGATTTCATTCTTATATTATGCCCTATATTTATCAAAAAGATATCAACGCTCAATATTCTCCCCTCATAAATTGTTCTCATACATTTTTTAATCGAGTTTGCATTATATGCCCTTTATCATGTATCGATATTTTCGATATATCCATATATCGTTGCCATCCCAAGTTATAACTTATAGCATATAATATACTGCAGTTGTTATTATATTTAATCTTTAAGTGCTATATATGTCACTGATAAGTGATAACTTTTAGATTAAATGCTACTGTTTGTTACACAAATGTGTAAATAACAATATTGTTTGAAATTTCAGAATTTGACTACAAATAAACATTTTTAAATAATAATATAGTTCTTATAAACATATTTCATTACTGTTTTTTACTTTTACATATTTCGATACTGTTTGATAAATAAGGGAAATTATTTTAAATATTGAAGTAACTCTTTACTCTACAATATTAACAGTGTGTATAATACACTAATACATTTATTACAATAATTTTAATTAGCTAATACACAAAACAAAGTTCTAACTACTTTTATGAGGTATCTACTAGATAGATATGTCAATGTCTTGTCTTTTAGTTCATGAATTGAACCGATGTATATTTTTTGTGTATGTGATTACATGTACTGTAGAATGTATCGTATCTGAATAATTTATTTTAGCACACCTGAAAAATGCTAAATATGTAAATATTAGGCTTTGTAATTTAACTAATGATATTGAATAAAATACCATTCGGGTGGTTGATCCTCCTTCCTAGGACATTCACCTCTACCATCTGATCAGTTTTTATTGAACAATTTGACCAGCTTAATACTAAGTTATTTAGTATTACAACAATGCAATTTTAATTTTGTAATATTTTGTTTATAGTTAGAATTCAATTAATAAAAGAATGTCGGCTCTTGCATCATTAACTGCTAATTATACAGACTCTGAAGATGAAGGTACTACTCCCAGTCAACGTAGACATATTGAAGAAGTGTCCATTTCAAATGAACCTTTACAAGAACATGTACCTAGTCCTCAACTACAAATACCGAATTCAGCTCCAGCTGTAACTAATCCGGACGATGACAAAAAAACTCATCTTGTATCATATTTTGAGGATCACGATATTGTGATGTCAGATGAAGATATGGACCGAAGTTCGGATGTAGACGAAGAAGATATTTTACCACCCGAACCTCATGGTAGATGCTCTAAAGAACTACAAGAAAAGATAACTAGATTGCATGAAAAAATGGAAAAAGATGGTATGGACATGAATTTTTTGATCCAAAAAAGGAAAGACTTTCGAAACCCTAGCATATACGAAAAACTTTTACAGTTTTGTAATATTAATGAATTGGGCACAAATTATCCACCTCATTTATATGACCCCTTAAGATGGGGTAAAGAATCTTACTATGAAGAATTAGGCAGCTTGCAAAAAGAAGATATGGAAAAGAGACAGAAAGAAAGAAAGGAAAAAACTAAAGTAAGTTCTGTGTGTTGGTTAAATTAAGATAATTTTTAATATGTTACTGATTTCAATTAAAGGTTGAAGTTGTGTCTGGTACAAAAAAGACTTCATCAATCAATGTTTCAAGTTCCCATAAACAAGATGATAAGAAAAGTAAATGGGATCTTACAACATCTGTAACAGGTACAAAGGGAACGATTATTTCAGCTTTTGGTTCTTTACCAAAAAAACAAAAATTGGATATTCATTAATCAATTCAAGTACCTATCTGAAATGTAATAATATGTAACATTGTAAATAAACTATAATCTGAAAATTATTTTAATTTTTGAATAAAAGACACAAAATGCAAACCATTTATCAATATAATTAAATTCAGCTTTTGTAGTATAAATATATAACACAATAAAAAAAAAACATCTGAATTTGTGGTTCAAATAGATAGTTTATATCGAATAGTTAATACTGTACATTTCTACTTATATTATGCATGTCCTTTTACACAATATTAAATTACATTTTTATCATTAAAAGCAAAACCTCAAAATATTTAATATTATTATCGATAAAATTGTACATTATATATAATTTATCATATTATTTTATTTTTGAAGAAAAGACAAAAATAATTAAAAGGTTAACATTAAAAATATGGTACTTCAATTATTTCAAGCATAAAATAATTAAATACACTTAATATAGCAATGGCAACAACAACAACAAAGCTTAATAATAATATTATAGGTAATATACTAATGTTATTGATTTTATAATATTTTAAAATTAATACATATGTAGATAAAGGCATACTAAACAAATTGTAAAATTTTTCTCATAGCTGAATTGAAAACTGTCAGTAAACAAAAATGTTATTATACTTACAACAACACAAAATGAATAAAGTGAGTTAAACATTATAATAATATAATAATTATTTACTATATTATGATTCAAGAAATAATTAATTAAGAGTTTAAACACAGACTTCTATTATATTAGTATACAGAGTATACTCTATTAGAATACAATTATATTTACATTCTACACAGTTAGGCCATGGGATTATATAAAAAAAGGTATAGATACTTAGTAGCTATAAAAGTCTGTGACTGTGAGTTAAGAAAAATCAAACGAGTAAACTTATAATTGTAATTACTGGTTAAACAAGTAGATAATAGTAAGTTTAGTTTATGTTGCACATTTATAACTATTTTATAAGTTTATAATTAGGGTTGAAATTTTGATACACTTTGCATTGTTTTCAATGCTAGTTGTGTGATTCTTTTTTACGATACTCGTCTTACCCATAGTAAATGTTTTAAGTTTCATGTATTTTTGAAGCAGAATAAGACCTTTTTTTATTTTGTATTTAATGACAGTTTTCAATTTTTAAGTCATTTTTAGAAATTTAATATCTAAATCCGGAATTTTATTTTTCTATTTTAATTTTAAAAAGTAATTTAATAACTTCCCAACAAGCCTGTTAATTAAACCGAATATTAATCGAAATTTTTCGAACGCGAGTATCGGTAGAGAAGTAATTCTTTTTTTTTAAATTAAAACACATAGAAGACTTGAAATCGTGCAGTCCTGTATGGCTTTTTTTATTTAAAATTTGTTTAGGCTTTTTAGGACATTAAATTCCCAGCAAAGAAACTGCTATTAGAATGAAATATATCCATCATAATTATGACATTATAATTGTACACAACTCTTTAGATACCTAATACCCTATCAAAAAGGGTATATACTCTTTAGTGAACATTGTAGGAAAGTTGGAAATTGTAGTTAAAAGGTATTTTTAATAACCATTAAAGCATTAACCAATAATACTGCATCATAGTGCATTAGTGCAATAATACCAGCCTATAACAGGTATAATAATAATAAGGGTCAAGAAGTTGATGTTTTTACTGAATGATCTAAACAGACTCGATTTGTTGATTAGCTACAGATTTGATTTATGTATAGCAAATTTTGCCATCTATTTTATACCCTATTATATCGCTAATAATGAAATCCTTCGATATGTGCATGTAAAATACGCACCTACTTATAATAACTACCTATAGGCTATAATAATATATTAATATACATGTATCACATGACAGATATAGACAAAATAAAAATTGTAAGAGTCACGTTCTCGTTGGTAAATGGTAGGTATCATACTGTCATATTATAATTATGCCTTGCAGTGGTAAAGTTAGGAATTTGCGTCAGTGATGGGAGGATAATTTTTTGTACACAGGGGAAGCTCAACTAGAATCCGTCACAACTCACAAGTTAGGTATGCCAGCGGTCCTTAACAGGTCACAGGTAGTACGCAATGTAATTTTCGCGAAATAAATTATTTATAATTAGATAATAGACATAATTATAAATAATTTTTTTGTCCAGAAAAATTTTATTTTAACACTTAACATCAGGTATGCATTAAGTTAGCGGTTCCCAACCTGTGCACCGCCAGCTTATTTCAGGGGCACCGCGGCTTGAGAGTGAAAAAAAATATTTACAATTTATTGTAGTTAAAAAAAAATTGTTTTACGTAAGAAATTACTTAGTACACTCGATATATTTAATACAGTGTTTCTAATCGGTATCGATTAAGATTAAAATAAATGGCATAGGCTGAATAAATTCAGATAACATTATATAATATACCTACACGCACGACTTCTTCGAATTTCGACGTTCATTAAATTTAATTGTATCACTCGTATATTTTCGGAATTATTATTATACCAAACCAGTTGAGCATTTACTTTCAGTCTGTGATCGACATTTTACGCGTTAACACGTATTTTCGTTAACTATTTTTTTCTGTACACACGTTTGTTTTTGTTTTAAACATGGAAAGTTGGTTGAAAAGTGGGTCTATTAATAAGACGCCTGCTACGGAGTCATCTTGTTCTAATATAGAAGAAAGCATAACCAACGAAAACGGAGCTAGCAACGTATCAGAAACACTTGTCTCTCGTATTAAATACACAAAATTCGCACTACAAATAGACAAATCAACCGATATTGCTGGTCTTGCTGTACTATTGGTGTTCGTTCGTTACGTAAACATGAACTCTTTTGAAGAAGATCTTTTATTTTGTAAACCACTTCTATCTAATACGACAGGGGTTCAAATATTCGGTTTATTGGATGATTTCTTAACAGAAAATCAGATTCCATGGACAAACTGTATCGATGTGTGTACTGATGGTGCTAGGGAAATGACAGGTGCAACAGCTGGAGCAATAGCTAAAATAAAGGAGAAATCAAATGAAACTACTAGTAGTCATTGCATACTTCATAGACATGCTCTAGCAATGAAAAATATTCCTCTTTGTCTAAAAAACGTATTGGATGAAGCCATAAAAATAGTCAACTTCATCAAGTCACGTCATCTGAAATCTAGACTTTTTAAAATCTTGTGTGACGACTTGGGAAGTATTCATAATACGTTACTTTTCCATACAGAAATCAGGTGGTTATCTCGAGGTAAAGTATTAACACGGTTAATGGAATTAAGGGCTGAAGTTTCTTCATTTCTAATGGACCACAACGTTACATTAGCTGAAACTATGAATGACGTGACTTGGCTTTGTCAGCTATCGTACTTGGCAGACATTTTTAACAAAATGAACGAGTTGAGTCTTTCTTTACAAGGAAGAACTTTGACAATTTTTGATGCGAGCTCCAGAGTATGTGCATTGAAAAGAAAAATTGATTATTGGCAGTGTTGGGTAGTAACGTAACGAGAGTAACGCGTTACTGTAACGACGTTACTTTGTTTGTAATGCGTTACGTAATTTCATTACTATTATTTTCAAGTAACGGAAATGAAGTAGAAATTACTTTTGATAAGTAATTTTTATAGTATAACGCATTACAGTTTTGAATTATTTAGTAGCTATTGGAAATTGAAAAAAAATCTTTTAAAAATATGTCTATAATGTGAGGGTTAAGAATACCAATCTAATATTATATATATATATATTTCATTTGAACTATGGCCACCATAGTTTTGACAGGTCTTATGTACCTTAAATCACGAGAATAGATTAAATTTATTATTTAATTTGATTCCTCTAAATAATATGTACATATACACGTTTCCATGAATATCTATAGCATGGGCTATACGACTTACGTAATACGTATATACCCAAACACTATTATTGGACTGGTTTATTTTTATAATTTAAAAGATATAATTTAATTTAGTTCTATTAATACGTGGTGCTATTTATCATAAAAGATCGCGTATGAGCGATAAGAACTTCGAAGATACTCTATTGTGTAAAGTTAATTTAAAAAACAAATAGGTTATTGTAAAATAAAGGTTTTGATTAAGTTATATATTTTTTTATTTATTTAATAGGTTGGTTTATGTGGTGAGTCTATGACATATTATTATACATTATACTTACTTATATACGTACAATTAATTATTACAATTTTTTAATAGTTATGAGTAATTAATTTTGTTATGTACTTATGCATTAACTGTACATTTTTAAGCCATACCTTTTTTCTAAAGGTAATATATTTAGTTATGTTATTGTTTGGTAAAATTATAATTGCTAAGAAATTTAAAAAAAAAAATTTGTAACGAGAAAGTAATGTAATTTTATTACAATTTTATTTGAGTAACGAGTAAAGTAACTTTATTACATTTATCTCTAAGTAACGAGTAACGTAACGTAATTACTTTTTAAAAGTAACTTACCCAACACTGATTATTGGTCAGAGTGCATATTTAAAAGAGAGCTGGAGTGTTTTCTAATAATGCAGTCCTTTTTGGAGGAAAACGAATTGCAAGCTCCCGTTAGCATTATTAACGAGATTTCTGAACATCTCAAACAACTGAAAAATTCATTTAATAAATATTTTCCTACAGATCGAGAGGTGTTTTTAAAAGACCGTGAATGGGTAGTTAATCCCTTTTCAGTCTGTGGAAAACCCTCAAGATTGTCTTCAATCGAATATGAGAGTTTGATCGATATTACTTCAGATTCAATATTTCAATCCACCTTCAGTAGCAATTCTTATGTTGAATTTTGGCTAAATTTGAAAAATACAAGTTTTGATAATTTGAGTCAAAAAGCAATAACAATACTCTTACCTTTTGCAACCACATATTTATGTGAGACAGGATTTTCAGCCTATGCGGCTACTAAAACCAAATACCGGAACCGTCTTAATGTAGAACCTGACCTTCGTATCCAACTGTCAAAAATTGAACCAGATATTGCCAAACTTTCAAAAAATAAGCAGACACAAAACTCTCATTAATTTTTAACTTTTAAAGCAGTATTTTTTTTCTTTATTTTCAACCATAATATTGTAATTTGTTTTTAATATGTACAATAAAATTATTTAAATCGGTCAACAATCGGTGAACAAGTGTTCATTTTTATCATGTTTTTCATAATATTCACAGAGGGGCACCTAACTAAATTTGGAACAACAAAAGGGCACCGCCGACTAAAAAGGTTGGGAACCGCTGCATTAAGTGAATAAACATGCGTACGGTTATCACTAGAATGATTCGAGACTGAATAGGATACTAAAATGGATGGCGATATCGAGATCCACCAACATTCCCATTAAAGTATAGGTATATAAATCATACCTAATAATAAAAATAAAACAATTTTACATAAAAAACAACTAAATAAGCATTTAATTTTATTTTTTGAGGAAAACATTTTTTTTCACAATTATTTAGTTTTTATTTAGGTTAGTTGTACTTGTAGCTCCTAAACTTGAAATAGGTAGTTACAAATAATAACTTGGGTACCAATACATTTTTTTTACATATCATAGATCTGACGTTTACTACTCATAAGCGAACTGTTTGAAAATTTGTTCCGCATAGCTTGGATATAAAAAAGAACCGCTGTGATGTATACCGTTGTATACTTACCAGCAGCAACCTTCTTACAAATTATAATTTTTCATACAAGAGTTGCGTCTCATGTAATTACCTAATACTTTCACAGAACAATGAAAGGATTTTGAAATTTTTCTGAAATAGCTGGGGCTGTTGCTGCCTCCCTGTCCCTGGGTATGCCACTTAATTACCTCGTACCTACAACAATATACGAAGGTACGTATCATTATTATATTCAAGGCTGGGCAGTATCTTAGCTACTAGTATTTAAGATACGTATCTTAGATACAATTGTATCTTGTATCTTGTATCGAGATACATCATTTGAATGTATCTTGTATCGGGTATTTAAATATTTTATTGACTTGTATCTAGTATCTTTTTTATGATTAAGATACTACATACATTCAAAAAATATGTTTCAAATTTCATTAATATAACAATTTTCCTAATTGCCCAATAAGTAATAATATGTTAGATAATAATATATTAGATTAAACTGATTAAAGCAACTTTGGTGTCCTTTATATTTGTCCATTAATATTATCCTCGTTTGTCTAATAGATTTGATTCTTTTTTAATTTAACACTTGAAGCTAATCATGCTATCTTAGCTACATGTTTTCACCCTACATTTAAATTACGTTGGCTCCCAGAAATAACAACCGATCGAAAGAAAAATAGAATTCAAAATGTATGTATTAATGAAATTGATTGTAGTTCAAAACAAAGTAGTACTCATTGGTAGAGGAGCTTCAAGGTACTCTTCAACAATTTTTAGTTGGGAATGGCTGGGTTGGATGTCACGGGGAGAAAAAGAGTTTCCCAGGTGTTGTGCTAAAATATTTGCTTTGTCAGTGTCGGTAATAACCCATGAGTTGTCTTAATTTCTTAAAGGGGGGGGGGGTAGGTTGATTTAGGCGGAGTAGAGATTTGGTCGCTTTCCAAAGAGATGAGTTTTTTGTGGTTAGTGATTCTACATAATTATTGTAGGATTGATTTCTGTCGAGTTGGATAGCCTTTTTTATTTCATTATTCAATTAATTTGTTAAGTTTTACCTTGTCATTTGGGTACTTGAATGTTTGCCATTTATTAGAACGGTTATACCATACAGGGTTTTTAGAGTTGAAATCACTACCAGAGATAAAACGATGATACGTTTTATAATACGTTTTGGAATTTAAAAACATTTGTGTAGGACTGGAAATGATGATGTGACCCGTTGGTTTCAGCACAGATTAGTAGGTATTATAGTTGGGAACTTGGGCTTAGTGATGGTTAAGTTAAACGTGCATTGAGTGAAGCCTAGTTAATTTATTTTAGTCTTTTTTACATTACTGATAATTAAAATTTCTATATTTCCTACTGAAATAAGTAGATATTATTGTTATCAAATATTAATATTAAAAAATAACTTTTTCAAGAGACTCATTATATGAAATGTAATTCGAAAAAATGTTGAAAAATAAGGTGAATATAAAATATGAAATGCTATGATTAAGCGGCAATGCAGTATTCAAAATTTAGGAACAGAGGAATGGGGACAAATCCCAATTCTTAGTTTGAACCACGATTTAAGATACTATCTTGTATTTTATATTTCATCTATACTTAGCTGATATACTCATGGACCTAGAACTCAGTAATGCCTCTAAATGCATATATTGAGTAAATTTCATAATTTTTACCTTGCATATATGAGGTAATACAACAATATGAGGTACAAGTAGTTATGTTGATTAATTGAAAGAGGTTAGACAGCACACAGACAGGAGATCTGATTATATGTCCAAATGACATGGGTGAAAATTACAAATGGATACAAATCAGTTTTTTTGTGAAATTAAATTGTTTAGAGGCCGTAATGATGATTTAAGAGTGCCAGGATAACTTACCTGACAAAGAAGTTACCAATTTAATTTACCTTTTGGGCACTACCTCATTAAATTATTTATATTTTATTTGTTTAATAAATTGAGATTTTATTTATCCAACGAGTAGAATTTATTAGGAATAAAAAGGGAAACAATATTTTATTAAAGGGCTTGTGTTAGAGATTTATTTGAAATCGAAATGTTTGTATTTTAGCAAGGTCAACAAGAAATACATGAACAAATAATTAATTTTTGACAATCATCATACATTGTAATTTTTAACTGTTAACAATTATAGTCATTTAATACATAACTATATGTTAATAACATAATTATATTTTTACTAGTTCAACAGTACAATTTTGTTTTGTGTATTTACACTAAGAAATTACCATATTTCTGTGTCTATCCATAAATATATGGACAAATTTATTCACACTATTAGAATTTCAAAATTGATTTTTGAATTCATTCAATTCATCTATATTTTAAGAACAAAAAAAAAGTGAAATTAAGTAGTTACGTAAAGCTAGACATAGTTATATTAAAAAATTACTTTTGTCCAAGTTGAATAATTGTAGATTTTCAATTTTTTCCCCAGTTTTTGAGTTTTCTGTTATTGTTTCTACACATTTTTTATTTCCATCTTTCATGATAATTACTGTTTCAGTATTTCCATCTTGTAATTGATTAGTGCGGGTTTCTTTTTCAATTATTCTGCCATTCCAGTTTTTAGATACATAAGACGACCTCGAGGACCAGCCAGGCTACCAATTAAACGTTGTTTAATTATTATAAGCAGTGATTTTTTTAGAGTGAACTCTTATTATTATTTCATACATACAACATACCAAGTTACGATATAAATGTATCTATATAACAAAATTATGGAAAAGAGAAAAAATATACAAATACAATATACTAATATCATATATTCGCTAGTATTGTTTCTGTATTATAAAGTATCTGATCTCGTTAATCTCATTTGTCTATATATATGAAAATTGTATTTTTTTCACCATAGATCAAACACACTAATATTGCATTAAGTATATCCAATCTATGATTATTATGATTTAAGGTTTAGAAGAGCTGAGTAATGGATAAACATTTTGTGAGATACTCTGCTCTGCTCATCTAAACTTAAAATACTTATAACTAAGGTTTGGGACTTATAGCATTTGCATATTTTTTTATTTATTGTAAAATGTAGCAGAGTGTGAAATAAATTCATTTCTCAATGCCGTGATACCAAATCTAAAATTTGAATGAGCATATTTTTGCATATTTCATACATTTTGAAGGAAATTGCTTATTTTTACGTTATTGTGTTTAATTTGCATATTTTGGAAAAATTTTCTAAATTTCAACTTTACAAATTTCACCCGTTTAAAAAAGAAAATATTAATGCAGCTTACTCGCAGTCTCATGTAACTATTTGCTATATACAACTCACAACTCCTTATAATTTTTGTGGTTTGAAAATATTATGATGGCCTGATTGCCCGTATCGTTACATATTACATAATATGTTTGATACAAGCGATACGATAATTTTAATATATTGAGCTTATTAAATGTTATTTGAAACTAAAGGTATTCACAGTAAATTTAAAATTATTTATTTATTGATTTAAATGACAAATTTAATTTTTAATTTTTTTCATCATTATATAGTTGACGAATAACATTCAAGAAACAAGTTAACAATCAGTTGATTTTTTTAAAAATTTTTTATATTAAGTACACTAATGGTAATTAATAATCATTAATGAAATAATAAATAATAATAAATATATTAAATGTATATTTTAGGGTTTTAAAGTGCACATTTTAGCATTAATTATTGAATTTTGAAGGGCTATAAGTCCCGAACCCTGCTTATAACAGTTTTAACTAATTAACTACTAAACAAAGTTTCAAGAATAATTAATGTTCGAAAATACTTAAAAATACTAATTTCTTCTGATTAATTTATTTTTGTTGTTTTTTTTTGTTTTACGAAATCACATTTTTAAAATTCAGAGTATGTGCTAAGGAAATTTTAGAACTGTATGTCCTGTTTCTTTTGCAGAAGTGAAAATATTTGCCTATAACAATGTCTCCACCAATAAATTTATGGATATCTTGTACGTGGTGACAAAAGAACAAATGGCTTTATAATTGATAGAAGATTCTGATAGGTTGGAAATAACTGTTAAAAATTCTTGAACACAATGTTTCATGATTTACAACTTCTTGGTTCCTTTATTGTGTAATGAACTTAATACTTATGATGAGATTTGTGTTGATACTAACAGGTATATTATTAGCTCATGGAGATAAAGCATAGTATTTATTTAGAACTGTACTTTTAAAATTAGAACAGTGTATGTTGTGTACAATTGCACAGTAGCATAAGGCCTGCTGTGATTATTATGTAAATAGTTAGAAATAAAATATATTGGTTAATATAAAATAAGAATAAATAGTGGAACCAATTAACTAAAGCATACATTTAAAATTTGAGTAAATTAAATCTAAAAGCCAAACCTTTTCAAAATATTGTGATCCTGACTTCTTGATTATGTTTATTGAAGGTTTGTCAAAAGGTCTTGAAGCAGAGCTAATATAACATAATATTCAATTTTGTATTCAATCAAAACATTTTAAATTAATAATACAATAATAATTAATAAGAATTAAGGATTATTTACCAAGGATTAAGAAAAGTACTTTGTGCTATAAAATTTTTTTTTGGTATACCATTTTTTAATTCTTCTTTATTTGTTGATTGGTTGATCGGAACTGAAATATAAATAAACATCAGTAATTCTGAATAAAAGATACTTATTGTTTGAAATAATATTAAGGACTATAGCAAAATGTCCCCAATATTTTTTTAGGTATCATCAATGAATTTTTTTTTTTCATTTTGTCATTAAGCGAACTGTACAATCAACTTACTAAGATTGCATAAAGGTTAAAGGGCTGATTATGAAAACTCAATTAAGGAATTTATGTGAGCTATTTTATATGTTATTGAAATGTTAACTGTGATTATGTTATATTATATTAGGTACCTACCTACCTGTATAACCATAAGTTTTGAATAAACTCCATAAAATACTTACTTGTAGAAACATCGGAAATCATATTATTTTGGAAATTTTGAAATTCTAATTCCATCAATCTAAAAATATCTTCAAGATTAAACACATTTCTATCATTTTCAAATTGGTTTCTTCTATTGAATGAATCTATTTATAGATTTCATTAGATCATTAATCATATGTAATAATTAAGTAGTAATGTTCAAAATAATTACCAGTGAAATCATCGATTTCTAAATTATTTATTTCGGCATTAATATTCTCAGTTCCTTCAGTTGGTAATTGAAATTCTGAAGGCAGATCTAAACTAAAAAAAAAAAAATTGAATATTAGGCAAAAGAGAAAAAACGCATATTTTGGGATGTTTAGTTTCGAATAAGACTTACTTTGTTTGTACATCAGTGTTAAATATTTTATAAAACCAATTGAAAATACTCATGTTGGTAATGGGTGTCAACAAAGTTGGCGTAAGACTAAGACAATTTAAAGAATCAAAATCAAAAATGTATTTATTTCTAATTGATACCACTCGTACTTCCAGTCGATCTTTATTCTATGCTTCCAGTATCGATATAGTCAGTCGTGTGTAGAAGGTAGAATTACTGAACTTCATACATAGAATGCGTATAATGATTTATGACGTAGGTATAATTCTCATATATTCAATATTGTGATGTAAAATGTGCCAATACGCGAGCCGCCATATTCATATTCCCGATATCATTTTTAACAAATTAAAAATATTAAGATAATGATAACAACTTTCGTAGATAACCATGGAGGCACGGACCACCGTGGTATAAAGCAGAGGTTTGCCAGTTACCTATCATGATATTTTCTGATTGGCTGTTGTGCGCTTGACGTTACGCTCAATGTAAAAAACTAAAAAGAGGATATCGAATCTGCTGTACACTGTACGTTGTGCACGTAGGCCTTAAACTAGTTAGTGTTAAGTCTATAGCCATAAGCCATTAGCTGTACGTTAGGTGTCTACAGAGTCACTGTAATGGATGTTAATTATTTTATAAAACATACAATGATTGTATACGAAAAAAAGATTCATCTACTTTATGATATAATATTGTGATTGAAGTAAATTATTTTACTATTACAGCCATTATTAGTATTTCAGTTGGTTAAATTCCTTTTTATCGAAAAAATGCCGTTGCCTGTATAAAGTATAATGATAAACCTATAGGTACGTAGTACGTACTCTAAAAGTTTCATGTAGGTACCGACGAATAATATTTTTAATTTACAACAAAATAACTAGAACGGTTATTCTTGGTTTTGATATGTATTTTCATTCAAATTTGAACTTAAAATAACTATTAAATAAAATTGTGTTAATATATTTTTTAGATTTTTGATTACAAAATGTACTAAATATGGTATAGGATCTTGTTTTAAATTTTCAATTTTTACCTATAAAATCTGATCGTTTTATGGAGTTTTAACTACAAAATAATTAGTAAATTTTCAATTTGAGAAATGTTGTCAACATTTGAACTTCAAATGACAATAAAAAAAATCTTGACTTAGTATTTTTAACATTTTTAAACTTATATTGGAGAAATGTGCGAGGAGCCTAGTATTAATTTTTCAAGCTTTTGTAACGAACAAATTACATTTTATTGACATTTAAAGAAAAAAAACTAAAAAATTGAAAATTAAAAATGTCCATAAACATATTTCAAAACAAGTCAAATTATTTTTCAAATTGTATGATGCAAAGAAAATTACACAATAAACATTTGATGACAATTTCAAGTATTTAAGGCTATTATTTTATGAATAATAAGGTAAGTAAATTGTTGTACGGAAATTTGCCATTGGAATAGCTTATGTCAAACTTCAAATGCTCGTTAAAAATAATTTGATTTTCTGGTAAATTTTTTTTTTGTTAAATGTAGGAAAACTTAAGGGGAATTTTGTATTTAATTTTCAAATCTTAGATATAATAAGAACATTTTCTATGAGTTTCTAACTCAAAATAATACATTTTCGTGACTTTACAAATGTTGTCAAATTTTAAATTAAAACGGTCACAAAAAATGTTTGAGGATTGACGTTCAACTTTTTTTGTGTTTTCACTAACAACTTATGATGCTCCTTGTATTACATTTTCATGTCTTGATATTTTGTGTCAACAATAATAATAAAAAAACTTAAACAGCTCGAATTTTTTTTATGTCTATACCAAAATAACACAAAAAGGATCGCAATACTTCGAAAATGTTGTGGTGTATGGAAATTTCTTGTAAACATTCAGTGAAAATGTCATCTATTAACTGTTTTTTTTGCGTTATACTAAAAAAACAAAATTATTATTTTTAAAAACTTTTTGAGTAAATATCTCAATTATTCTTCCTCCCGCTTTTGAAAATTATTGGAACTTGTAATCCGCTAAGACCCAAAGTACCAACTAGGTTCACTTTTCTACCAGAGAAGATGCCGTAGAAAAAAATCTAATAATTTTTGCTGTGCCAAATAGTGATAGTAGACACAAAAAAAATAAAAATCATTCTAAAATCAATACATTCATCGCTCCTCTCAGGATCTAAAATATGATTTTATAGGAATATTAAATTTGCGACACTCATGATTTATTTAATAAAAATTCTTTGTTTTATTTTACTCCTGCGCTTAACTATCTTCTATGTATAAAAATGTTTGGCAATTCAATTTTTGTATATTACTTAAAAAATGTATATTGCTTGTTAATAGATCGGTACCTGTATGGCTGTACATAATATAAATAATTGTCTTGATAAGTCACATGTTAAACAAATACCAAAATATATTCAATTTGCTGAAAAATGTTCACTACTCCAGATTTACTATTATGTTTTAAACATTTATATCATTCACTGCTGCAGACACTGGCTGAGTCCTCACTCCTGAGTGGCATAATCTTGTGGTGGGCAAAGGTATCATTCGCTCCCTCCTGAATTATCTATTAATACAAATCTTTGAATCTTCTTAAGTTAAGAAACAATGAAATATATTTGATATACTACAATATTAAACTATTTCATAAGAGATTACATTTATTTTAGGTTTCTCTTGTTGTATAGATAATATTATGTTGCCATTAAATCTTAGATGTGGTTCAGTCTGTATTCGACATTTTATTACAACTTCCAAGTTATTGTTTAACACAACATTATATGTTATAACAATGTTTAATTTTAAATGTAAATTATGATACATTGATAAGTGTAGTTCTTGCTCAACCTGTCATAAAATCTATTTGCTTTCTGGAAGATATTGATGCAACTATGGATAAATCAACTAATAGTAAATGCAAGGCAGAATTAAGTTAGTGGTAAAAAACTTTTTGACCATCCTCTAAAAAACAATAAAAAAAAACTTCTCAGATGAACCTCATCCAATAAAAAAAAGTTCATAAACTGTACATGCAAATTTTCCATTTTTAATCAGAGATTCAAACAATGAAAAAACTTAAGACTGGTGCAGATGTACAGATATGAAAAAGAAAATGTTTATAACAATATAAACTATTTTTTAAGTTTTATTTAACTTTTCCTATTACAGTTAGTACATATACACATTTTTTAATAGTTAGAACTTTTATTTACAAAACATAAGTATAAAATATAAATCTAATATATTTTTAACAAACATAAATTAGTGACTATTAACTTGTAAAGTTGATTGCAATACTTGCTAGTTGATACAGCATTTAAATTATTGCATTTGATTGTTTTCATAAACTGAATTCTATGATTTGATTCGGTTTATAATTTAAGTGACTTCATCATATCATATATATTAGACATAAATATTGAAATTCAATTGGATTTAGGATTCCTTAAAAACGTTTGCATAGTTTTGTAAGTCTGAAATTAATAATACAATTTATAATCACATTCTATAAATCTGTAGTAAATAGTCGTATCAAGTCATTAATCATCCATATGATGTACCTATCAAATTCTTCTGTCACGGATGTTTTCTTGTGAAAGTAATCCTTTAACAATTTAGTATAGATCTTGAAATATTATTCTGATTGTCAACAGACAAGACAATCAATATTTTAAGATATAATATAACAAAATAAAATCAGACTTCATTATGTTCAAAACTTTCAAAAATGTTGATGTTAACTATGCAATGTATAACGATGTTGCCGAACACAATAGAAGTCGAATTGATATGATGTCTGATACTTCTACGACAAATGTATCTTGACATATTAGAAAATTAAATTTTAAATTAATAATAAAAAATATATATTTATATTACATATTGTATATTACAAAAATTATAATTAATTCATAAAATAAATAAACATACCATAATAAATGTAAATATAAACTCATATCAAATAAAATATGGAACACATCACACCAAAAGCAGCAACTAAATTAGTTGATATTTTAGCACCACCAATAATTCGATCATTTGTAGCTCTGGTGCACCTTAGTATGGGCAATGATTAAAGTTTGTAGCACAATTTAATGATCAGAATCAGTCATCTGATTCATACTTAAGATCAAATTGATACATTGACATATTTAACCTGTCTTCATCTAAAAGCTCTTCAAGTCTACATTGAGAGATTTCTTTAGCTTTTTTTTTTATTTCATTTAACTGATTTTGAAGGAAATTTATTCTTTTCTTTGCTCTGCAATATTTTTTTTTCAATAAATTTTTTTGAGCTTTAATTTGTTTTAATTTCTTTTGTTGATTTGGAGAAAAAAATACCCGGATTGATTGGTTATTTTTTAAGCGTAACCTTCTATTTTTTATAATATAACACAAACGTTTACACCATAAACAAATATTACTGAAATTTTAAAATTATCAATAGTTAGCTGTTGATAAAAGAAAATAATATTATTTCAATTTGAAATTAATAACCTTTTTATGCCATCATCATTTGTCAGTATTATGCAGCATTTTATATGTCTCCACATTCCATATGATTCAACAAATTGATAACCATATGAGGAATTAACATCATCAATTTGGTTTGACGGTAAAGCACCTTGACATACTAGAGTTTCATCAAATTGTTTAATTATACTCAGTAATTTGTCATATGTATTAATAGTAATCAATTCAGAAATGTGTCCTATGTCAGATGTATTGATTTTCTTGTTATAAACATAGAGTAACAATTGTAAATCTGAAAATTATTTCAGTCTAATCAATTCATATTCAATAATAAATTACATTTGATATTAATTAACAAATTAAAACACTCACCTTCAGTCAAAATTAATTGTTTTTCTATGCTTGTAGCAAAATCATCTTTGTATGGTCCCAATTTGTGAAAACTGATCATTTTTTTTTTTTTGGATGCATAATTATCATCATAATACCATTTTTTTGGAATATTTAATATGTTTATTTGATTTAAAATATCTTTAAAATGTGAAATTTGTCTTACCTATAAAATTAAAGTGTTACATTCTATTTAATATAATGCTAGGTAGTTAGGATTTATTAAATATTTTAAATATAAATAATAACAACAATTTTACTATAAAGTTAAATTATTACATACTTCAATTCTTTCAGGTGAAGATGACATCATTGTATCATCAGTTAATGGTGATGTTATTTCCTTTGTATGGCCATTACTTAAATAATAGCAATGGTCATTGTAAATGTTTGAAAGTAATACCTCATATTCCTTTGGTACTTTTGCTTGTGCCACACTGGATTCAAAATTCTATAACAATATTAATTCTGTATTATTCTATTTTAAAGTTTTTATAGTTAGCAATTACTTGAGATGCAGATGAGACAGTACGGAATGACATCAAATCAATAGGTATCGCACCTTTGCGAAGTGTGGGTTTTTTTAAATCAATCTAAAAAATATTATTGGTCTTTTATTTAACTGTACAATTCTTTTGATCATTATGATTGACAATATTTACCGTGTATTTGGATAATCCTTTGCCAGACACCCAAGTATCAATTATATCTTCCTTATTAAAATGGTTACGACATACTCTAGAACTAGCTTTAAAACGAACACCTAAGGCCTTCTCCCATTCAAGTCTTAAAGAATCAGTTTTGGGTATACCAAACAAACTTATTTTTGTAGTTTTTGATTTATTAGTTTTACATGAAGCTACACAACAACGCATTTTTAAAAGAATATATAAAATGTTATAACTTAATATGAAATTTTGTTCTGTGATTGGTACGGTACACTAAATTTTTGAAAAATTTAAATTTTCAATTAATATTAAGATAGAAAACAAGATACGTATTAAGTAATTACCTATTAATTATTAAAAATTTCACAATATGCTCATCGCTGCCCGCTGGTGAGTCGTAGTAGAATAAATGGAAAAACGTTAAGGCGAAATTAAAGCTATTAAATGCACATATATATATATATGTGATTAAATGTTGATAACGATAATGATAACGACTGTGATAACCATCAACCATTATACCACAGAATAAATATTATAAATATTATTCTGTGCTTATAGCCTATAGGCTATAGGTACCATGATTATGATGAAAAGTCAACTGAAGTCCATCGGAACAAGCACGAATTAAATAATAAATAGTTTTATTTAAATTCGTGGGGACAAGCATTTTGTGGAACAAAAACACGGACTAAGATAATAAAGTTACCCTATGTCTTACTCCGTGAACAAAAGGCAAAATTCGGATCTTAATTAATTTGGAACAAAAGGTACTGATCCAGTTAGTCGTTTTTATAACATCCTTGATATTCGAACAAAAACGAAATTCCAATGTTTATCTTTTTCCGTTTATCGCTATTCTCTTATTCTTATTTCTTATTGTAGGTAAGTATATGGTACCTATTATAATAACAAGTTGTTTTGATAATTACAGAGTACGGTGTCATATTTACTCATTACGTTCCGTTGCGTTGTGTAATTTTTGTTGATGGCTATCGGTTTTTTTACATGAGTAATTAACCGACACATCGTAGCCAGGTACGTTTCATGCGTGTATTTATTCACTGGAAATATTATTTGTCACTGTTGCTGATCATCTGGATGCCGCCGCACACAACCCAGCAACACAAACAACAAAAATACAACGTCGTTTACAATCAAACTATGCTACTTCTGTGCGAACACTAAAGAAACACAATGCGGTCCATCATTTTCATCGGTGAGTTGTGTCTATCGAATGCCATGAACTTTTGAGTTATGACGTTTTTGTACATTGTGTTCGGTCCTGGCATGTAATACTACTTAACATCTAAGAAAAAGAAATAAGCCTGATGATCACTGGATGATATTAATAGAGATTATTATTTTGTATTGGTTTATCGTGTATTCAAATATCTGAACGTTTAATGTCTGATTTAATCACTTTTTTTAGCAAAATTTAATTGGCGAGTGGGTGAGTATGCTCTTGGGTAGTTAGGTCTTTGAAAACAATTTGGTTTTGATTATATTAAAAACGATAATGTTTTATTGCTTATTAGTTATTAGTTACCTATTACAATATTTGAATATTCGTGCGTTTCAGAAAATTGCACATATAATATATAAACCCATAAATATAATGAGAAAAACTCACTTTCATGCTTAGTATTCATTTGATTAACAAGTTATTTTTTATGGGTGTTAATAATTAAATAACACTTAAAATAGATACTTAATACTAAAATACATAGGTATATTTGATATTTTTATAGATTTTAATTATTGGTACCCATTTACTTTAAAATTAAGTCAAGATAATTTAGTGAAACAAACACAACATTTATAGCTTACGATGTCCAAGGTGATATCTTTTTGTATGAAATATTAGTATGAATTAGCAGCCATAATTATTTTTTTGGTTTTCTTATTCTGTGTTAAAAAAACAGCCTATGAAACAATTGAACTACCAATTTTAGAAAACGCCACTTGTTTGTTAGCCGTATTTCAAACATTCCTTTATTTAATTTATCATTAAATATACATTTACAGTTTACCCAAACACTTGTAAACTATAGAAATTTCGGATAAAAACATTAATAACGTCACTATGTCAGTGCTGATTAAAAAAAAATAACACTTTATTTATTACTTCTTAGTTTACCATATGACAATGTGTACAATTTTGGAATTAAATAAAAAAAAGTGGGAGTACAATAATTTTAAGAGCTCAAAAGAGTTCATATACTGATTATAATTAGGAACCTTGGGGCAAAATCTAAAATGTAATTTTATAAGAATATTAAATTTGCGACATTCATGTTTTATTTATTAAAACTTATAATCTATCTAATAACATTTCTGAGCTTCTTCTTTGGCTTGTGAAGGTAGACCATTATGATTCTTTGTCGCTTCTATTATCCCTCTTCAAAAGTGGCGGTTATTCCGTGATTCGTGTCTTGACTTTTCTAGTACCCGTGGCATCATAGAAAATTATTTACAACTTGTGTAGAAATTCTAGTTTTTTCCAAATGTTTTATTGTTTTTCCTAATTATTTTAAAAGTACTGGTGAATTTTAACGTTAGAGTTTTTATCCTCTTTGACATTTTTTTTTAGTATCAAGTCAGACAAATTTTTGTTTAAATTATTAGACTATTAACTATCTTTCAATTTTCATCATCTAACTTTGCAAATAAAAACATTTTAAATATATGTGATTTGATTGAATATTGGTGATGTATTGATATATTTTTGTAGGACCTAGTGTATAACATGGTCATAATTTTAATATTTTCAACTAAATACAGCTATTCTTTGTAGATAGTTTGGTCCTCAGTAATACAAGATAGCTTCACACCATTAATTTCTATTTGTTGCTATACTGATGTTAAAAGTAGTATCTACTCTTATCAAATCTTTTTACTGTAATTATAGTTATTGTATAATATAATATGCAAGTTGTTTTAAAAAAAAAAAAATAGTTTGAGTGAGGTAGGTATTTTATTTCTATTTACTAATTGCAATATAAATATCATACAATAAAATATTTTTAGAATATAAACCAACAGAGCCAGTCTCCACTCAGAATCGTTTTACACCCTATACAGTGGTTTGGTTTGTCATTGAATTAAAATTTGACACATCCATTTCAGTGACCTACTCAATGACTGATGATAATTTACACTAATAATTATTATGTAGTAGAGACAAGGGCGTGACTAGAAATTTCATCAAAAGAAGGCAACCAGATTAGGTTTAAACTTTTACTCCAATTTAAAGTTTTGTTACACATTAATATATTTATTAGTTTGGGCAGAGGTAAGGGGGGCAATCCTCACCCTGCCATCCCATGATTACCCACTTGTGTAGAGGGGCTTCTTTTTTCTTTCTGTAATTGTTTATTCTTGGTCTTCAATGGTGTTTTAGTTTAGTAATTATCACAAAAGTCTTCCAGAAATACAAAACCAGAAGTTATTAGTTTCAACTTAAGTCGTTTTATGATAAAATCATAAAGTTCAGTTAGTGTAATAAAGTTGCAACAGTTATTTCTGGTTTGAATTTATAATTTTTTTCTAAAAAATGTTTGAATTATTGTGGATTTATGTATGAAATATTTTCATTAAATTTCTTGTAAGTATCCATTAAATATTTTTTCGAGACTAGTCATTACTTAGCCATAAATAACATAATAAACACTTAATTAAAATGTAATTTTGGTAGGTATTATTATTAGGTTGATCATATTTTTTTTTTACTACCAGTTGTTTTTCTATTCTATTATTTTTACATTTATATTTTTAGAGTAAACTGCATACTTTGTATGTTAGATACATAATTTGTAAGGAATATAATTTATACTCTTTCTACAAGCATATTATAATTAGAGGGTCACACGAGGATTTTTTTCCCTAGTTTTCTGATTTAATCTAGGCCTGGAATCATCCACTGTAAATAATAGTTGAACCCTTCCTACTCAATATTGTCCATAGTTCAATGTAGATGATAACTTTTGATGATTTCATATTATTTACACTGTTCATTTTTGACTGTGGATAATTCATTTTAAATATTATCAAAAGTTAATTGTGTAAATGTAGCTTCATTTTAATCTGGTAAAAAAGTTGTTGGTTTAATATTAATTTAACTTATAACATGAAGTTATTCCTATTCAAATTTGTGGTCAGGTCAATAGAGTATGGCTTATTCATTTTATTGTAAATCAAATTAATAACATTCATTGTTGTTGTTATATAAATTGGAATTTATAGCCAGTGGCATTTGTTCCTTGTTATTTCTTTTGTATTATAGTATAATAGAATGACAGGTGACAAGTTTATCATGACTGGGTTTCTGAATTGGTTAACTAAAAATGTTAAGGAAATTCCTAATAAGTAAAATATTGTCAGGAAATATAGTACAATAATCATAGTTAGTGATATTTTAATCTATTTGAAATATGAATTATCAATATATAGTACTGTAGTACAATTCTGCCAGGAACCTATTACAATAAATAACAAATTTAACATGGAACTAATAAAGTATATATTTTATTTTCAGTAAATCTATTTGCGCATTTGATATGCGCGAATACTCAGAGGCCTGGAGCCGCAGATAGAGAAGGATATTTCAATAGTTCATCATGGTTAAATTTATTTCCTCCCATTTCATTGTATAAACATATAGGATTCAGCTTTAGAACATGTTCCGGAGGACAAATATTTTCTCAAACTCAAGACTTACCATATACTCGAATCTCAGTGGATGTTCTTCATGATGGCTTGATGTTTACTACATTTCTCCAAAACAAACATTTTGAATCAAAAATCCAAGGGGATTTTTTCGATAATTCTTGGCATAATGTTAATTTTATATATAAGCTTGGAGAATTAACAATATCTGTTGATAGCTTACAACAAGTAAATAACAGTTCATATATGTGTATTTAAAATTGATGTAATCCAACATTATTTAAAATACGTACTTACATTATAATTTATTTGTTCAGGTTATAGCAAATTCAACGTTTAATTCAGAAATCTTAAATTCTGAAATTGTAACTGATCAATCTATGTTAAGAGTAGGAGATGGTTTCGAAGGTTGTTTATTAGAAGGTCCAAATTTTATTTTTAATTCATCTTTAAATCAAGCTTATAAAGTTGTTTGGGGACATTGTCCCTTAAATAGTCAGTCATGTATGTACCTTTAATTTTTAATATTTGGTACTTATTGGTTATTAAAAGTACTTGTACAATTTTCCAGTAAATTAAATTATGTTTTTTGAGTACTTAAGGTTAACATTGCATTACATTATGTTAATTTAATGTTGTTATCTACAAGACAAAATAATAATATAAGTAGCTCTACCCAATATAATTTAAAGCGTATACAATATAAAAACGATGTACAACAAACAATTTCTTTGTAACTTGCAATCTAAAATATAGGGTTTA